AATAAAGATACTGATACTACTAATAATGGTAAAAATAATAATGGCAGTAATGATGATAACAATTATTAGACAAACAATAATAATTGCGATCGTAATAATAATGATAATGGCAATAGGAATACTAATAAAAATAGCAATAACAATGAGAATAATAACATTATGGTAATTATAACAACAGTTGCAATATTGTTATTAAGAACATGATAAAAATAACATATCAATAATATAGATGATAATAATAATAGTGGCATTAGTAGTGGCTCTACGAAGTATGATGATATACAAATAAGACGATCAAGCTAAGGAAGAGAGGAAGGAGAGTGAGATGGTATGGAGGGGGAGAGTGGTGGAGGGCTGAGTGGTGAGGAGAGGGCTGAGTGGTGGAGGGCTGAAAGGGGCTGAGTGGTGGAGGGCGAAGGGGCTGAGTGGTGGATGAGTGGTGGAGGGCGACTGAGGGGCTGAGTGGTGAGGGGCTGAGTGGTGGAGGGCTGAGTGGTGGAGGGGCTGATGGAGGGGCTGAGTGGTGGAGGGGCTGAGTGGTGGAGGGCTGAGTGTGAGGGGGCTGAGGGGCTGAGTGGTGAGGGGCGTGGAGGGGCCTGAAGGGGCTGAGGGGGCTGAGTGGACTGAGTGGTGGAGGGCTGAGTGGTGGAGGGGGGCGAGCGGGCTGAGTGGTGGAGGGGCTGGAGGGCTGAGTGGTGGAGGGGCTGAGTGGTGGAGGGGCTGAGTGGTGGAGGGGCTGAGTGGTGGAGGGGCTGAGTGGTGGAGGGGCTGAGTGGTGGAGGGGTGAGGGGGAGGGTGGTGGCTGAGTGGTGAGGGCTGAGTGGAGTGAGATGGTGGAGGGGCTGAGGGTGGAGGGCTGAGTGGTGGAGGGGCTGAGTGGTGGAGGGGCTGAGTGGTGGAGGGGCTGAGTGGTGGAGGGGCTGAGTGGTGCGAGGGCTGAGTGGTGCTGAGGGGCTGAGTGGTGAGGGCTGAGTGGTGAGGGGCTGAGTGGTGGAGGGGCTGGAGTGGTGGAGGGGCTGAGTGGTGGAGGGGCTGAGTGGTGGAGGGGCTGGAGGGGCTGAGTTGGTGGAGGGGCTGAGTGGTGGAGGGGCTGAGTGGTGGAGGGGCTGAGTGGTGGAGGTGGAGGGCTGGTGTGGTGGAGGGCTGAGTGGTGGAGGGCTGAGTGGTGGAGGGGCTGAGTGGTGGAGGCGAGGGGCTGAGTGGTGAGTTGGTGGAGGGGCTGAGTGGTGCTGAGTGGTGGAGGGCTGGAGTGGTGGAGGGCTGAGTGGTGGAGGGCTGAGTGGTGGAGGGGCTGAGTGGTGCTGAGGGGCTGAGTGGTGGAGGGGCTGAGTGGTGGAGGGGTGAGTGGTGGAGGGGCTGAGTGGTGGAGGGGCTGAGTGGGGAGGGGCTGAGTGGTGGAGGGGCTGAGTGGTGGAGGGCTGAGTGGTGGAGGGCTGAGTGGTGGAGGGGCGAGTGGTGGAGGGGCTGAGTGGTGGAGGGGCTGAGTGGTGGAGGGCTGAGTGTGGAGGGGCTGAGTGGTGGAGGGCTGAGTGGTGAGGGGCTGAGTGGTGGAGGGGCTGCAGTGGTGGAGGGCGCTGAGTGGTGGAGGGGCTGAGTGGAGGGGCTGGTGGAGGGGCTGAGCTGGTGGAGGGGCTGAGTGGTGCAGGGGCTGAGAGGGCTGAGTGGTGGAGGGGCTGAGTGGTGGAGGGGCTGCAGTGTGGAGGGGCTGAGGTGGTGGAGGGGCTGAGTGGTGGAGGGGCTGAGTGGTGGAGGGGCTGAGTGGTGGAGGGGCTGAGTGGGTGGAGGGGCTGGTGGTGGAGGGCTGGTGGAGGGGCTGAGTGGTGGAGGGGCTGAGTGGTGGAGAGGGGTGAGTGGTGGAGGGCTGAGTGGTGGAGGGGCGGCTGGTGGAGTGGTGGAGGGGCTGAGTGGTGGAGGAGTGGTGGAGGGCTGAGTGGTGGAGGGGCTGAGTGGTGGAGGGGCTGAGTGGTGGAGGGGCTGAGTGGTGGAGGGGCTGAGTGGTGGTGAGGGGGCTGAGTGGTGGAGGGGCTGAGTGGTGGAGGGGCTGAGTGGTGGAGGGGCTGAGTGGTGGAGGGGCTGAGTGGTGAGGGGCTGAGTGGTGGTGGAGGGGCTGAGTGGTGGAGGGGCTGAGTGGTGGAGGGGCTGAGTGGTGGAGGGGCTGAGTGGTGGAGGGGCGGGGGCCAGAAGAATCGGCTGGAGAAGCAGGGCTCGGCTGAGATTAATGGCTGGCGCGCCCTTTTCTCACCACTCACGTGGCACAAAATCACGCCTCTGGGATCAGCGACGGGCGTGCGAGGGCGTGGTCAATCTGTATATTGAAAATTTCTAGGAGTTTTCTGGCAGGAGTAGAAGGGACGGAGCTGGCGACGGATTCAAGGACACGGGGCAAGGACGCTAATGGAAAAGGCTAATGGTGCGAGAATTGATGATGGCAATTTAAGAGGGATGCTAATGGCATTGCCAGTGGTGATGATGTTAAGGGTGATAGATGGGGATTCAGTGTTGTTTTTATATGGAAGGATGGTGACGCTAATGCGACGGGTCACGTGACGAAAAATAACACTAACGCTAACAATGACAGGAGCGATGTAATGCTTTATTTAGACATATGATATTGCAGTATATCATGCTGAGAGCTGCATGAATACGCACTCTGGACCACAGAGGAACATCAGCTGTATTTATCCAGGGCTTAACGGGACGAGACTTATCATTCTCAATCACCCCCCCCCCCTCGCCCCGGGCTCCTCCGCCAGCCAGCGCCGCAGCAGGAGACGCTGGCAAGCCGGGGCCATTAAGGAGCCTGCAAATATCTAGTGCAACATCCAAATCACTTCGGCCGTTATTCGCATAACGAGCGTCTCGCCTATGCAATTTGCTCCTGAATTGCGCATTCATTGTCCAAGTTCCTGCGGAAAATTTGGGCATTTTATAATGGAACTCCTGATAACTGCCGAGTTAAAATCCTGATTCAGTAATATTGCAGAGAATCTGGACTCTGAAATGAAAATTTCTCCTTAAATCTGTCTGTCCCTTCTTTTATTATAATTATTCACCTCCATCTCCTTCCGATCATCCTCATCATCACCATTATTACTGTTGTTATGATCATTATAATTCTACTCATCTATTTCTCTTTTATCTCTTTAACTATGTAGATTCAGAGATTTAAAAAGAATCCATGCGGGCTAGCGTGTATGCGTAATACACATGAACACCTACAAACAAGCATGCATTCACAAACATAAATATTTCGTCACAAACCACTCCCCGCCGAGGAGAGGCTCCGCCGGGGTCCGCCACAGAGCCCTGGAACGCTGCCCTTTGTCTGTCAAAACTTTAGTCCTTCGCGCGTATTAGCGGATCCAATCTGCCTTCCATCGCTCTTTTCCTTCCCCGTGTCCATGCCTCGCTGAACTTTCTTTTCTTCCTCCTCGTTTGCTTAATTATTTCCGCCTTAATTTCGCATGACGTGGTGATGCATAATTAAGTATTCATTAGGATATTTGTCGAGTTAACGGAAAATTCTTTGAAGATTTGCAAGGCTGCTTTTTGGCATCTTTCATTCTCTTCCGTTTTCCTCTGCATCTGCCTTTTCTTCGATCGCTATTTCATTTTTATTTCATTTTTTATCCATTTAAAATTTTGTCTTCTTGGGGTTATTTTTATCTGCTCTAGGCAGATCTTCCTCGGCAATTTGTTATTTTCTTCGATTCTCTCCTTTTCCCATTCGCAGTCTTTCCGTTTTTTCTTCGTATCTCGATATCCTTTTCGTATCCCTTGATATCCTTTCTCCCTTTCTCTCCTTCCCGCGGTCATCTACTTTCCGCTCATACCCTCGTTCCTCCTGCTCGGCTGTCACCGCACTCTCACGCTTGGACTGGCAGGGGAAGCCAGGCATTTGTAATATAATATGAAAGTGGGAAAGATCCTGGCCAGTACAGTCTTTTCCATATCTGTATTATGGCTTGGTACTAATATAAGAAAAAAATCCGTTCTCTCCGTAAATTTTATTTTTCGGACATCGAAATGTAAATTTTCCACACAGAAAAAAAAAATAGCTGAGTAGAAAGAAAAAAAAAAAAAAAGATAAAAAAGTACTTTAGATCACATATTTATCTTCCTTTCTCGGCAGGAAATTTATCGCATTAGAATTCATGGACAGGGGAAGACATGGTGTAAATTCTAAATTGTTATATTGCTATTACTCTTACCTTTAGATTTACATAGCTTTGTAGTTTACCATATGCATATGTATGCATATGAAATGAAGAGTCTTTTGCTTGCTATTCTGATAAGAGCGCAGTTACCTGTAAATTGCATTCACTAATCCTCCGGTACCCAATGCATTCCCCAAATACATCACACACAGCCATGCACACAAGCTTGCAGGCAAAGGCGGCGAAGAAGATAGCAGGATGAGGTTCGAGGAAGTCGCGCTCGCACCATTAGGCAGCAGAGGCGGCAGACGCTGATTCCCTCAACCAGGCCTCGCACGCGTCGCCAGGCAGAGCCAGACAGACACCTGTCAGAACCAGACCCACGAAATTGCCTGGAGTAAGAGATTGCTTGCAGGGCATCTAAGGACCCCTTCCTTGGCTTCTGCAATCACATGCGCTCCTTTTATCAATTTCATATCGGACAATGAAGTTTTTTCCGGGGGACAGGAGTGGAATGAGGTTGGTTGACATATATATACATGTGTATATATTTATATATATAATTGTATATTTATAAATGATTATATATATATATATATATAT